GTGTGTGTGTGTGTGTGTGTGTGTGTGTGTGTGTGTGTGTGTGTGTGTGTGTCGTGGCAGCGGCAGGTCCCCAAGGTCCCCCGAGTTAGGCGCTAGCGGAGCGGGGGGAGGGGCGTTGCTCCGACGCTAGCCGCGGGTCCCTGGCAGCCGGCCGCCACGTCAAGGTTTGTTTAATAATCGCCGGGGTATTTATGGCCTGGCTGGCGGGCGGCTGCAAGGGGAGCCAGAACAGCGCGCCGGGCAGTGGATGAGGCGCGGCGCCAGTGGCTCAGGGCGCCTCCCCCCTGGGCTTCCCGAACCTGCCCGGTGCGACCCGAGGGGGAGGATGGACACTCCAGCCACGTTCTGAGCCTGCGCAGAAGATAAGACCCCTTGTAGCTGCAGCACACCACCGTCCAGCCTAGGCCGCCCCCTCACCTCCCCCCAACCCCTACTCGATCTCCCGAAGTCGGAAGCGCGAAAAAAAACAAAAAACAAAAAACAAAAAACAAAAAAAACAAAAAAAAACAAAAAAGCGCGCGATGGCGGACAACCTGAAGAAGCTGGCCAGAAGCGAGTCTTTCCGTGACCTGCAGAATAAAGTCACCTACTGGGTGAAGGATTACAACGTGAGTCAGGGTGGGAGGCTCCAGGGCTCTCCCTGCCTAGTTTCTCTGCACAGCCTCGACCCGGGCTGGTGTCTGGGGGAGTCGCTCCCCAAAGCTACCGTTCTTGAGACCCCAACGGGGAATCTCGGACTCCTACCCAGATCGAAGGAGGAAATCCCGCGTCTGTCGGAACCTTTCCCTCGGGGTGGGCTGTTCCCTTCCAGCGGTACAGGGCTTCCCAGCGTTCGGTAACCATGGACGCCGGCGGCCCTAGCAACAGAAGGACAGGGTCGCCTGCTCGCCTGCTCTCTGCTTGCTTTGACCTGCTTTGGAATTGTTTTCCCTTGCTCCCTTCCCCCTCCTTGCCTTTCCTCAAGGTTCTCACTTTTCGGGATACCCAGGATCGTACCAGAGTGAGCTTTTCTAAACTTACCCCCAGGAGTTTTACTAAAAGGGACACCTTTTGTTTGCCTGTCGGTAGGCATGGCGATTACAGAGGTTCCACAGGCAGCTTCCAGAAGGTGTTGCCAAGGCTTTTGTAAGAAACCACTGCCTCACCAGCATTCTGGCAGTCCCAGAAGCACACTCCAAATTTTATCCATACCACTGCACCCTGGCTCCCACAGCTCCATGTTGAATTCGCCTCACTTTCGATTAAAGTGCCTTGAATAGGAGGCACTGGGTTTTACCCAACTCGGAGAGCTATCAGCAGAACGATGTGATACTGGGAATTTCGACCTTGACCTGCGTTCTCCGGCTGTGTGTAGATATAGCTAGCCAAATAACGTTTTCTAGCCACTCTGGGTCTCAGCACGTTATCTGTCCCACGGTGGGAACTGGATCAGATAATGATACTTTCTAGATCTCAATTTAAAAAGAAAGCTAGATCAGCTTGTTTCTGAATTTACATCTGGGCGTATTCCTTATCTTGTTATGTGTAGTTTGGATTTGGGTCAGTTGCTAAGCGCTGACTTGTGAATCCTGAAAGTGGTTTCGTTAGTACCAGGGAATTTTGACTTAAACTTTAAGATGAATATGCCCTACAGCAAACTCTAGTTGTTCAAATGCTGGTTGTAGAAAACTACATTCATTAAAAAAGTTGTGAACTGTTTGCTTTGGAAGGCTGACTTTGCAGAGTGTACTCATACTGGCTTAGTTGGAATTAACTTTAAAAAAACAAGCCATGCATAATCCTTTAGAAGCATGAACACAATTAAGCCCACCCCCAGGGGGAAAGTTATTTTAAAAGAAAACGAATAAATGGCTCAGATTAACCCTAAACATAATGCACAATTTCAATTTTCTTCCAACTAATGATTACTTGGGCTAACACGGGATTTGGCTTTCCTTTTTCCCTCGTGTGGTTTCCTTCTCTGTCACCTTCATCTCCACCCTGATTCTGAAAGCCCTGCACTTGCACCCACACTCTGGTAGCCGTACTCTAAGACTGGCTTCATTGTATGCTGTGCCTTAGCGTCCCTTTATCCCTGGTTTCACCTTCCTCTCTGTCTGTTCCCTACAGTCACTATGGTCTGAAAATATCAGACTTTCTAACAAAAGCCGTTGCTATGTTTGAGATTGCGTGAGGAGCAGAGTGATGAAATCTCAACCGGGGGTTGATTCGTTTCTTGCCCAAAGTTGTCTGGGATATACGTGAGCCAGCAATATACTACACACAGAGAGCCGCTGCCTCAGTTTCCAAAAGGACGGCTGGCGTTCTTTAAAAACACCAATTTGTGCCCTACAGCCTTAAAAAGGTTGGCTTATTTTTAATCCGAAAACATCTGGTAGTCTTGTGGGTCATGCAAGACGCTATTCCTTGTTGATTTAGACAAAATATTTTTAGGGCCAATGTGACGGCTCATTAGATAATGTCATCTACTGCCAAGGCCTTGATCCATGTTTCATCCCCAGAACGCACATGGTGGAAGACTGACTCCCACAAGTTGCCTTCTGACTCCCACATGCGCACCTCCTACCTGTAAAGAAATATAATGAAGCGTTATAAAAATTCCAGGAAAAGAATGTTTTCCAGCCATTTCCCAAAGGGGGGGGGACTATAAGCGACAGCAAACAGTCCTGCCATTCTTTGCCATTCTGGTGATACTGACTTTAGTGTACACATAGTCTCAGGTGCCTTCAAAGATGGGTCTCTTCTTAAGTTCAAGGATAGCTTGGTTTGAAAACATGACTTTCAGAAGTTGCTTACTTTCATTGTTCAAAAGCTCAATAACTCGCCCAACAAAGAGTTATTGGCCATCAAGTCAGCGGGTTTGACACTAACTTTTGCAAGGCATCTTTGCTTATGTAGTCAACAATTTTTTCAGAGCACATGATGTGCTAGGCCCTGGAATTAGCAGTGGGAGCTGTATGTTTTTAATTTAACATTTATTTTTTTGTGTGTGCATGGGTGTTTCTAACGTGCATCACTCATGCAGTGCTTGCAGAGACCAGAAAGAGGGCACCAGGTCTCTTAGAGACAGAGTTAGATGGTTGTGAGCTGCATGTCAGTGCTGAGAACTCAACCAGCATCCTCAGAGGAGCGGCCAGTGCTCTTAACTGCTAATCCACCTCTCCATCCCTAATGGAGCTGCATCTTAATGATGAGCCTCAGTCTGCAGGAGAGAAAGAGGGTAGAGGCAACTCTTTGTGTAAGAAGTAGGGAAAGCCTGATGGAACTGGTAGGTGCTGGGACTGGTTCAATTGGAGGATGGCAATGAGATGAGGCAGAATGGGTGGAAGGTTGGGGACAGATGTCAGAGAGCCTATAGGGATGTTTGGGAGTCAAGCCTCTGCTGGAGGTCAGAGGGAGCCTCTGAAAGCATAACGCATGAAGAGGACCATTTGGATTTAGGTTTTATGTAGGTTGTTCTAGTTGTCTTGTGATGGAGAAATGGAGATCTCTAGAAAGAGGGTTTGGGGCTAGGTGATACTTGAAGCAAGAGACCGTATGAGTGAATCAGTCTGACATATTTAGCAGACAAGATGAAAGACACCAAGAGTGTCTCTTAAGGTTCATGTGAGAGCATACAGTTTAAATAGTTGAAATTTATGGTGCAACATCTGTATATTTTATTAGCCTCTTCTGCAAAAGTTACGAATCATCTTATATACAGAGCTGGATTCTGAAGGCAATTACTCCTTGAAGATGTCAATGGAAGACAGGAAATGCCCCTCAAGTCAGGGTACCTTCAGTAGGTCAGCCCTGGCCTGAATCCCTCCTCCCTCTAAGATACCTCCATTTCCCCTCAAAGTCCTGCAGGCTCAGCAGTTAACCTGAGATAGATGTGCTGAGACTTGATTCTGAAGATGTGTGTTCTATAATCGTAGCAGCAAATGGGTAGATGACTTTCTTTCTTTTTTTCTTTTCTTTTTTCAACAGGGTATAGACACAGGATTAGCCTTTAACTTGCCATCCCTCTGCCTCTTGAGTGCTGAGGTGGTGGGCACGCCCATCATGTGGTATATTGAAAGTAAGATAGTAGCTATAAGGTCACTATAACTCAGGAATCTTGTTTGCTGTTTGTTCTTTTTAGAAAAAAAAAAAAAGGGGGGGGAGATCATGTAACCCAGGCTGGCGTCCAACTTAATTATGTAGCCAGAGATGAGCTTGAATTCTTAATTTTCCTGCCTCTCCCTCCCATGTCCTGGGATTGTATATGTGAGCTGTCATGCCCAGTTTATGTGATGCTGGAGAGAGAACCAAGGCTTTGCACATGCCAGGCAAGGGTTCTATCAGCGCCACCCACCCGGAAAGATTGGGAAATTTAATATATGAGTGTGAGGTTGATGGGAAGAGCAGGCAATATAAGAGGAGTTCTCTCTATGTTACTCTTCCCTTGCATTAAAGATAATAGCTGAACGTATGCTGTTAAATATCAACACAAGAAGGAGAGCTTAGTGAGGTGTACCTCCTGTTTGGTTTAGAACAGTATTGGGGGTGGGAGGGGATAGAGGTCTGTCAATGTTGCTATGGTGTATTCAAACAGACTCCTTCCTTCGTAATCACTCCTGAATCAACAGATTAGCACATTCTTCCAGATGCAGTCTAAGCAGGAAATTTGTAGAGAACACAGTCTTTCTTGGCATCTCTTCGCTGCCAGATCCAGCTGCAGGGATAAACAAGCCTTTGAATCTTAAGGTCTCAATGGGAAGGAGAATTTTCTCTTGAAAAGTCACAGGGCAGCTCTTCACTTCTGGTTCAGAGGCCCCTGGGATGGTTCAGAGCTGCTGTCCTACCGTGCCGCCTGAGAGAGCTGCAGGGGAAGAGAGCAAACTTGTACTGCCCTTCAGTGGCACATTGCTCTTGCCCATCATGCCTTTTCCAGAAGCATGACTGCATCACTTAATGATGGGCCTATCTCTTGAGAAAGGCATCCTTGGGTGGTTCTGTGGTTGTGTGAGCCCCGAGGCGTATACTTACCCAAACTAAAGGATGCTGTCTTGCATATGGCTGCTATTAACAGAAATGCCATCTGACCGTGGTTCTGTGGCTCCAGTCTGCTTGCCAGGCAGCTAAAGAGTGGCTGGGAGTGTAAGCACAGCACAGCAGTGTAGAAACATGCTCTTCTTTTCTTGGAGCCACCCTCTGCTTTGCCGTCTCAGTTCTTCATCTTTGTATTGTCGTTGCCATCAGTTCTGCTCTCTATGGTCCTTTCTTCCTCAGCCCACTTTTGGCACAGCAACAACGGCCCTCCTTCTTTCCCCATCTTGTATCTTCCCTGTGATCTATGGGCTTCTACTCTCTCTCATCCAAAGCCACAACCCCATTCCCACCTCTCTTTAGAGCTGCAGATGCACTTTCTTACCTGCGGTGTGAAGTGTGTCTCACATGCCTGGGTTGCAGGAAGCAGTGCAGAGCTCAGCTCAACCATTCTCTCATGACTGACTTTACTTTCCGGCCTTGCTGAGTCTTCTGTGGCAACGGTAGCCAATGTAGAAGGTTATTTTGAAAATCATCCTGCAAGGTAGGTGTGCTGAGAGGGAGCAGAGGCTCAGCTAGAGACTCTCATTAGACACTACTGTTTCCATCTGAGGGCTCTGCAGGCACCCTGGACTGCCCAAGCCAAAACTCACTACCCTCAGCTAATGCTGGAATCAATGGGATCTTGGCTGATGTAGGTGTGATCAATGGTGGGGGCAGCTGGCCTCCCCTTCAGACTTACTCTCTTACCACGTCCCTCCCCCAGTCTCTGTCCTGCACGCTCCACCTCTCCTCCAGAGTCACTCTCTGATGTGAACGCTACAAGATCTGTGAGGAGCACCTGTGACCTTCTCGGGTGGTAACTCGCCCTTGCTTGCCTTGTTGGTGTTTTCACAGATGGGTCAATCCCAGAATCCTTCTAGTTGTCATCCTGCATCCACTTTCGCAGCTGCTGAGCTCCAGAGCAGTCAACACATTTCACTTACAAGTAACTTTGGCAGGGCTGGAGAGATGGCTCAGTGGTTAAAAACTCTGGTTGCTCTTCCAGAAGACCTGGGTCCAGTTCCCAGCACCCACATGGCAGCTCGCAACTGTCAGTGACTCCTGTTCCAGGAGATCCGACCCCGTCACACCAAATGTACATAAAATAAAATAAATTTAAAAAAAACTTAAGAAAAAAGCCCTTCTGTATGGGGGCTGCCAACCCAAGTCTCTAAACAGACTGGGAAGTCTGGAGCTTATGAATGAATGAATCTGGAGACGCTGCTCTGGACAGAATGCATTAAGTGCTATCTTTTCTCTGTTTGTCAGATGATGGAGCTAATTGGATAATGAGATCCTATTATAATTCAAGCATCTTATGCAATGCTTTGTGTGGCGAGCTGAGCATGTTGTAACATGTCTTGAAATATCCTGTTTGGATATGTGTGTTGTGTACACAAATGGCTCCCTTGGGCACCAGGCAGGTTGTGGGATACCACAGACATGCTTCTGATTTAATATCTACACTTGAGTTAGTTGGCTCGAAAAGTCAATTACTTCCTAAACCTGAGGATACAGTGGTTCTCATTTAAATGTCTTTCCTAAAAGCAATTCATCTCATTAGTGAAGAATGGGATTTGAACCCAGGGCTGCCTGATTCCTAAGCCCTGACTCCTTTTGATGCTACATACCACCTCATAGCTACCTTCTGTTTCTTGAAGAGCTGGGTGTGGTTTGTTTAGCTTCTTTCTACCATGTATTGTTGCTCCCACTGTATGGGGGTGATATGTATGTTTGATACATGTTCCTAAGAAATGAGAAATAGGCTCATTCAGCAAGGTTGGCTCCCTTATGCCTGGTCCTGACATAAACCTATATAATTACACCCATGCAATCTATTGCTTCCTTAAAGTTCTGTCCATTCTTTCAGTATTGGACTCAGCTTGAGGCTTAGGTATGAGTTAAATAATTAAATATTGATCAAAGCAGAATATAAACCAAGAGGCCCCACATAACCTTCTAGTGTTCCATCCTTATCATGGAAAGCATTCCATATCCAGTATGGCCACCTGTTCCCCCAAACCATCAAGTGGGCTTAATTTATTCTCAGGCTTCAGAAGCCTTCCCAGCTTTACAAGACAGCAGCTGGTCAGTGGACTTGACGCCACTTAGTCTTTCTGCCTCCTTTTGTTTTGCTCCCCATTGTATCCCATGCCCAGGACAGTATCTTCTTCTGTTAAAGGAGGAATCATAAGCTCTGCACGTATCATACTAAAAAAAATAAATAAATTTTATGTACAAGGTGAATGATGAAACATAAATGAGCCAGTAATATATATTGCAGTATAAACAGTCTCTTCAGTTCATGAGGGGATTTTTTTCTTCCTTTCTTTCAGGATTCTGCTGAGTAGAATCATTGCCGTGAAAACAACTTCCCAAACCTCAGTAGCTTAAACATCTATAAAAAAGCTTTCTCAGCCACTTACCACTTCAGTGTTGGTCAGGTCAACAACCTTGGGGGTCTTGTGGTTCACACTCCTCTTTCCCCCTTAGAGATTTCCGCTGCTTCCTCTGCATTTAGTTGGCAGATTTGGAAATCTAGAAGCAGGCTTGCTCAGCCAGGCCTGGTCATGGTGCACACCATTTCCCAGACCGTGAGTTGAACTCATAGAGTCACATGGGCCACACAGCTCAATCCCAGCCATGTGTCCTGGGGAATAGATTTTGGTGGTGCCCAACGGTGCCTGTCAGAACCTTGTAAGCCTCTGGATGACACAGGCTCGTGTCTATGTGCAGTGGTTACCAGAAACTAGGAATTGTAGGAATTGTACTTATATCTTCTGTTATGGCTTTACAGACAAACTCCTGTGATCAGAATCTAAATTATTGCATTGGACTCATCGAACAAGTTGGCAAAATACAAGCGCAACTCTTTGGGATCCTCACCGTGACAGCTCAAGAAGGCGAGAGCATCTTCTGTGTCTCCACCCCCTACCCCCAACCCCAAGACCATCTCCCTGTCACGTTTGCTCTATGCCTTTCTGTGTCCTCTGGCTGAGATCCCTTCCCCACCGTGCTGATCTGCCCTCTTTGTTGTATTAGGAGGGCACAATGAAGGCGTGGAAACAATCAAGACTCGGCTTCTGCCTATGCTGGAGACCACTTTCAGTAATATAAACATGATAAAACTTATGGAGAACAAGCAGGTAGGGATCCCCAATAATGATGCGGCACAATGAAACTGGAACTTCCAAGACAGAAAACTAAGCAAAGTGCTGTCCTCCCCTAGGCCTGGGACTAGTTCCTTTCCTAGGTCAGTGTGAGTTGTTAGACATTTAGAAACCAGACTGGAAAGAAAATAATGTGCCATAATTAAGGTGTCCATCTCATTACATTTCCTTGCCGCTGCAAGCCTCCCCGGGCTAGATAATATCCACGTAAGTTTATTAACTTTACACTTTTAGAGTCTGAAAGCCCAAGCAGCATGGTACAGACTACACAGGGGAACACATTTCATTGATAAGAGTGTGTGGGAAAGCGTGATTGCACAGCAGGACAGGAAGCAAATGAAAACATGGGAGGAGCCAGGCTTGCTTCTTCACTGAAAACTAGCCAGAGTCCGGTGAGAACTTCTGACCTTCCATGATCTAAAGGCTTCTCCCGTCAGGCCCTACTTATCCCTTTGTCACACCCAGGGCTCAAGCTTCCAACTCACGCACTCTTGAGAGAGACAGTGTAGCTATATTGTGCACCATGGCAGTGAGTATGGTTGCTTCCAGATATTTAAATGGGCTTGCATAGATTCCTCATAAAAATGGAAGTAGTCAAAGTGGGATGTTCTGAACAAGAACCAGGAGCTCAAAGATTTCTGCTTAGGTGAGAACCAAACTGGACAGAAACCCACACTCTGCAGATCCCATGGGAAGTTGTAAACTTTTATGATTCTGAGTACTTACTCCCCAAAATGGGGACAATAATTTTGCCAATCTGATGGTAGGATCCTGAAAACAAAAAGAAAACAATTCTCTCTCTTTGCAGAGAACCTGGCACGTGGAAAGATCTCTCTCTACCTAGAGATGCCACTTGTCGTTAGTATTTTTTGAGGGCATATGCTGGCCAGAGTTTTGCTTCCTGAGGGTGTTAATTCTGGGTGCAGACATTAGGAGTATGCTTTAAACCCTTTTTATTCTGGGTATAGAGATTATATAGGATGAGGTTTTTTTATTTTTAAATTTTTTTAAATTTTATTTTATTTTTCTTATTAGTTACATTTTGTTAACTCTGTATCCCAGCTGTATTCCGCTCCCTCATTCCCTCCCAATCCCACCCTCCCTCCCTCATCTCCTCCCTGCCCCTTTCCAAGTTCACTGACATGGGAGGACCTCCTCCCCTTTCATCTGACCCTGTTTTATCAGGTATCTTCAGGACTGGCTGCAAAGTCCTCCTCTGTGGCCTAGCAGGACTGCTCCTCCCTTGGGGGGTGGGGAGGTCAAAGAGCCTGCCATTGAGTTCCTGTTAGCAATAGTCTTTGTTCCCCTCACTATGGGAAACCAATTGGTTACTAGGATGATGTTTTTAAAGTCTTCATTTGTAAACAAGTTATAATCTGTATGCAGTGGAGTCCACAGCAGCTAAGTTTGGAACACACAAAACCCATTTCTGAACAGATACATAAACTGTGCCGTGTGTGTGTGTGTGTGTGTGTGTGTGTGTGCCCCATGACCTGACCTTAGCCTGCCTTATGCCACCTTCAGAGCAGCTACTGTTCTGGTTTCTGTCCTTCTGAATTAAGGGTTCCCATGGTAGAGGTTCACAAAAACTGAGCCATGCTCTTTTGTGTACAGCTTCTTTTGCTTAGCACAGTGTTTTTGGCCATGTCATGTTCCATGTCCATATTACTTTTATATACTCTTTCCAGGACCCACAGTTTAAGGACAAAAACAGAGTGGGCATTTCCCGGGATCAGGAAGAACAGCTATCAGATGGTGAATTGAACCCAGACAATCAACAAAACCAGGTTCAAGACGAGTAAGAGGAATGCAAGTTATCTTTTTTTCAAACAGAATTGTTCTAAAATTAATAACTTTTTAAGTGTGGAAAGAGAATAATGGGTCATGTAAAATGTGTGCACTTGCAAATAAGTAAAGTTGTGTGTTTGAGAGAGAGAGAGGAAAAGAGAGAGAGGGTGAGAGAGAGAGAGAGGAGGGAGAGAGGACAGAGAGAACGGGCGGGAGGGAGAGGAAGGAGGAGATGTGAGGGGGAAACTTAGCGACTGAGTTGAGGCCTGGATATCCACAGTCTATGATCCTTGGTTCTTCACTCCATCCGTGTTGAGCCTTCAATAGCACACATTTTAAATAAAGATTATTAGATAACAATCTGTTCATTGTCAGAGAATACACAGAAGGAGAAGGATTAAGGCGGGTGAAAGATGAGGCAAACAGGAAAACTGAGGAACACAGGCAGAGCAGTCACTTTTCTCAGTGCTGTGAGACAGACTATCTGACAAGGAACAGCTGAATAAGTTTAAGGGAGAATGGGTTTATATTGACTCAGTTTGAGGAAATACAGTCCATCCTGGCAGAGGAGGCCTGGTGGCAGAGTGATGGCTGTTAGGGTCAGTATTCCTTCCCTGTCTGTCTAGCGTGGCGGTTCCCATGCTTCCTATTTCGTTTACCCTAATCTAGAAAAGCTCTCATGCGCGTGCCCAGAGGCTTAGATCCTAGGGGCTTTTGGGTTTTGTTTGTTTGTTGACAAGATGTAGACCAGGGCTGGCCTCACATTCACAGAGATCCACCTACCTCTGCCTTCTGAGAGGTAGGATTAAGGGCAAAAAGGCATGTGCCACCGTGCGTATGAACTATTTCCTAGGTCCTATAAAGATGATAAACAATATTGGCCATTAAAGAAAGTATATATCTATTATCCTCTTTTAGGGGAACACTTAAATCTTGGACTATCTATCTATCTATCTATCTATCTATCTATCTATCTATCTATCTATCTATCTATCTAAAGTTAGGCAATGTCAGGCAACAGGAATAACAGAGCCAGGCTAAGCTTCTGGAAACACTGCAAAGAAATTTCAGGCTTTGGGTCTGAACCTGAAAAAGGTAGACAGATCATACGAGACACCATTTGACATGCTTAATTAAAACAACAACCACAAAACCCAAAACAATCAGTCGCCAGCATCTGCCTCAGCTTCATTCCTGCCATGGACCAGACAGCGAGGAAATCAGGACTGGAGTAGCATGAGTCTCTCTGTCTTGTTCTCTGATGGAATTTAATTTTTTCCCAAAAATCTTTTATCCCAATTGATTAATAAAAACAAATTTTCTTCTCAAAAACAGAGAAGAAGAAATGCAAAGGTGGAAGTCACGTTAGCTCACTCTGTCAAGTTTCTGATGTACTTTACTCCAGACATACTTGCGTGTGCTTTTTCTCGAAAACACATCTACCCAGCAGCCACGTACCTGCCAAACGTACACACGTAAAAGCTGAGCTCCTCTTAAGCAGTCTAATCTGTTTCAGTCCACATTACCTGGCTCTTCTATTTGACACCTCCAGGTGGCATGGCCTTTTCTTGTTTATCAAAGTCCTCTTTGTGTCAAGTGGACACAAAGGGCCTAAATTCCAAGGGCCATTTTCCTTCTCAGCTGGTTTGCCCCTTGTTGGGACTCTTCCCTTGCTATATTCTTAGGCATCCTGAAGGTGAGTCTCTGGGGGTCTTGTAATGCCTGTGGTCCTTGCTGGCCTTGGCTCCCTCTGGACACTAGTGTCTTATGCTAGTGGCTTCTGAGTAGGGGCTTGTCTGGTTCAGTTTTCTGGAATGTTAGCTGGCACCTGCTTAAGATGATAAGGGCTCTCCGATTTCTCTAGTTATAAAGAAAAGCTTTGAGAATTGGCTGGGTTTGGATGTCTGCCAGCAAAGATGGGGTTGGGATTTCCTACCTCTCCTTTGTAAGTACAGTCTCATGGCACTGCCTTTTGAGGGGTGACAGGACCAGAAAAGTTGGTTGTCTTAGTCAGTGTTCTGTGGTGAAGAGACACCATGACCACAACAACTCTTATAAAGGAAATCATTTAATTGCGGTTTGTTTACAGTTTCAGAGATTTAGTCCATTGTCATCATGGTGGAGAACATGATGACATGCAGGCAGATGTTATAAAGGGATCCACAGGCAGAAGGAAGAGAAAGACACTAGGACTGGCTCGGGCTTTTGAAAGCTCAATTTGTACCTGCAGTGACACACTTCCTCCAACAAGCCCACACCTATTTCATCAAGGCCACACCCCCAATCCTTCCAAATAGTGCCACTCCCTGACAACTAAGCATTCAAAGACAAGCGCTTATGGGGGCCATTCTTACTCAAACCACTGCATTGGTGTATGCACATACTTAAAAAAGCTTTTTTTTTTTTTTTTTTTTTTAGAAAAATGCTTCAAAGATGGAAATTTGTAAGAATCATGCCCACAACACCCACACACCCTTTCATGTCATGTGTCCTATTTACTTTATCACTTTTGAATGCCTTGCTTTCTTTCCAGAAGCATTCACGCTCCCATGGAGATACTTGCTTTCATGTTTCTTTTTGCTTAGTTTTAACATTCCTTTGGTCCATTTTTTTTTCCTTTTTTACTTAAAATCTCCCAAATGATGGCATCAGTGTGTCCTTTATCTCAGAAATTTGCTCAAAGAATCAAACCCATCAAACCAATCACAAAACATTTAAATAAAGTACATTAACCTGACTAAAGCAGTTTCTAGTTAAAAAATGTATCTCTATCTCTTATGTCATCCAAAAGCAAGAAGTTAGTACATGTACCTTGCGTGCACAGTTTTGTACAAACACTCAACTGTGTGTAAGGACAGGGAAGCAAATCCTCATCTTTGTCTGTGCTTTTCTTCTGGCTCTATTTTCTTGGCTACTTTCCATTTTCTTCAGGCCTCTCTTGATTAAAAAAATAAGTTTTTGATATTTATCCTTAAAACCTGTAACAGACTCCAATTTTATTAGAACAAATTCATTTCCTTTAAACCTGCAACAGCCCTATTAAGACATTTCTCCCCCAGCATTCTTTTAGACTTTAGGCATTTCCTTTTTATTCATTCACTTCGTATTTCCTCTTTCACAAAGATTTGTGTGATGGGCATTGCTTTAGGCACTGAGGGGAAAGATGAATACTGTATTTTGTAGTTTATGGTATGACTAGGAGACGAGTGTGAATTGCCCTCAGTGGAAGAGGAGACGCTGAGCTTGAGGGTCCTGTCAGGCAGCAGGTAGAGTGCTGGTGGGAGGTGGGCTCACATGTAGGTAGTGACCTGGGAAATGTGGGGTTGGTGGGGATTCTTTATCCTGTTCATTCCCAGCCTGCTTCATTGTTGAGGTAAAGGTCTGTGCTTGTCAGATTGTCCACAGCTCTGACAAAATGCTTGAGATATATAACTTAAAGGGAGGGACGGTTAATTTGGCTCAAAAGTTTCAGAGTTCACAGTTTTAGAGTTCAGTTGATGGTCTCTGGGCCTCTTGACTCTAGGACTGTGATGAGGCAGAAGATCATGATGGGAAGGGCACAATGAAGTAAAATCTCAGGCTTCCTAGTGAGTGAGCAATGAAGAGGGTCTCCATGACCCCTTAAAGGCCATGCTTCAGTGACCAGTATCTTCCAAGTATGCCAGACATGCTCCCAATGCCTTTCTACCCAGGCATCAAGCCTGCCAACACTTGAGCTCTGGGCACACATTTAAGATCTAAATCACCGCAGCATCCCAATGTTTTACCCCCTGTTAGTCTTTCACTAAAAGACTTTGCACACTCTAGCCTCAGGACTACTGTGATGAAACAGCCTAGATATCTCAGAGATGCCATACTCTGCGAACCTGTCATGTCTTCCCGTATCGGGGAAGCTCCATTGAGAACCACTGGTCTTCCATCCAACGTTGTTCATCTCACTTTCTCTCACTAAATTTATATTCTCTAGTCAGAGAAAGATGACGTGGTTTGACCAAAGTCAAGAGGGTTCTGGATGGTAATTCTGACCAAGCTATTTGGAAAACTGTGCTTAGGAAGGGATGAAAATCAGTGGCACAAAAAGCACAAGATATGGGCGCGTATGAGCTACTCCTCTTATTGCTGTGACCAAGCATCTAGCAAAAAGCAACATAAGAGAGTTAAGGTGGTTCAGGCCGTATAGTCCACCTTGACAGGGAGCGCATGGTCGCAGGGCCAGCTTTCTGCCTGTGGCAGCAGAAGGCTGCCAGTTCACACATTCCGGGGGATCAAAGCAGAGAAACGGGGATATCGGCCTTGGGCTGGCTTTCTTCCACTTCTTACTTTCCCCAGGAGTATTTGATGGTGTCCACATTGGAGAATGTGTTTCTCTCTCAGTTACTTCTCTCTGGAAGCAACTTCACAGACCAGCTCTTAAAGGAGCAATACCATAGAGGCTTCTTTATCCGTTATCATCTGAGGCTGAGAGTTACCACAGCGTTTTAAGGACTAGCTCTGTAATTTCTCTGCCTCTGACTAAACAAGGGATGTTAGCATGTTCCTGTCCGAGTCTGTCACAATGTCTGCGATGTGGTCTGATGTTGTTTACGGTGAATTTATAACACAGGTCAGAAGATTCCTAGAAAAATCTATGCCTCAAGTTGGAAAGTCTGCCCATTTGGAAAAATCTGGTTTTAGTTACTGATTTCTCTTACAGTCTGATGGAGAGTGGAAAGAGTCTTGATGGAACCAAGAACAGATCAACCATATCCCTCATGGTGGCAGAGGAAGAGATAAACCAGCTAAAAAAGCAGTAAGGAAAAACAAAACAAAAAACAACTCCGAATTCCTGCAGCTGCTGCTGAGTTCTTGAGCTTTGCTTTTCAGTCACTTATTTCAATATGAGAATTCCCCAAGGAAGAGGAAGGGCAGTAGTGCTTTCATGAATATTTCTCTTCTTTTTCTCACCATAAGAATTTTTCACCGACTACAGGAATTTTTTTCAATGCAACACAGTATTGAGGACCCTAAAAACCTCATTCCAGCAGTACTGTTTCCACCTGCTGTTTCTTCCAGCGAGTGAAGAGCAGTATGGAGTCTTCATGGTTCTGAAAGCCACCTCTTCATTTTCTATTATTTTCTTCTATCACCGACACACACACACACAAAATGTAACACAGAAGTCATTTTCAAAGAGGTTCATCACCTTAAACTGCTTTTAGAATTTTCTTCATGTTGAGTGTTTATTTGGATACCAGCTTTTAACCTGGATGCAACATTGGGATAAACTTTTGTTAAATTTTAATTTAGACTAGCTCCTAATGATTGTTTCTAGAGGGAAACAATGAGGGAAACAAAAGAAGATAGGTCCTCTATCTTCTTTTAGTTTTTATGTCCCTATTTTCACCCAAAGGAGCAGGTGGGAATATATTTTATACGCATACATGCACACACCTTTTGTACTTTTCACACATAAATTTTTAGCTTAATTTAGCCCTCACATATGCTGTAGTGTTTCCTTCTAGAACACTCCTGAGATGTATCAGGGTGCTGCCATGTTTTCCACTTCTTTCTACCCCAGCTTCATGTTGATCTCTTCCATCCTGGTTGGTATACCACCTTGGATTCATGGCTGATATGACAGAGTGGTCTTCTGCCCCTTCCTAGTACACCCTTAAGCCCTTCAGCACTTGTGACTTCTTTACATCCTGACCAACCATTCATCTTTTCCTCTTCCACTGTTGTCATCTTCATCACCGCAGGTCCTAGGGGCTTTTGCTTCTGTTTTATAGTGTCTAGCCCTCTTTAGATCTTAATGAGGATGCCCATTTTATTTCTAACATTTTTTTAATTTTATTTTTGTGCTTCATTATTTTCAGAAGTCCCTGTCTCCAGCCAGCTTTGCAGGGTCTTTCTTCATACTCTGTCTGTTCAAGAGATGAACTAGTGAGGGTAGGGGATTATACCACGTGGGAGTTTTGATTAGTAAAGATGAGTCTAGTTGTAAAACACTCTACTGTTCTCAGGGGATTCACGTAAATAGCCTTTCTTCAGAAAGCCTCCCCCCTGTAAGCTGTAGAAGTGGGTCAGATCTCTTGTTCTTTGCTTATTGTATGCATTTCACATACAATAGTCTTAGCCTTGTGAACTCTAAACCTTGAGAGTTTCTCTATGTAATAATGGCATGTGAGTGGTGCCAATTGCACTCCCTTTTCTTCTATTCCCCTCTCTACCTCCTAAAAATTTATCCCCCCCTTCTCTTCTATTTCCTTTCCTTTTCACTCCTGTCTCTTCATTGTTGTTAGGCTTAAATCTCTTCAAGCCCAGGAGGATGCCCGCCACAGACAAATAGAGCGCCGACTCTCTGAGGCCACAAAATCTGAGCGTCGACCTTCAAACAAATGGAAATCAGAGCCACGGGTCCCAGATGTACGGAGCCAAGAGGTGATCTCCGACTATGAGAAACATCTGCAAAATCTGAAGGATGAGATAGCTGTCTTGTCTGCTGAAAAATCCAGTGTCCAGAGCAGGTCTGACAAACTCTCACAGATCCTTTCATTTGCCTTTTGTTTTTGTCTCTTACTGAGCTAGTGGTAAAAGGCTGGACAGTGGGAGAGGGTGACAGGGTAAAATCAAAACCCCGATGGCCTGGGAAGCTTCAGTTCGTACAGGGGTGATTTTCTTGAACTCTTATCTTTCTCTCCAGGAAAAATAGCTGAGAGCTAGGAAACAGGTGTCTTGGCCTTGAAACCAGGCGTGTGTGAGCTGGCTCTTTGATGAACAGTACAAGTTGAAAAAAGGTTCCATAAGAGAAGATCTGTCCCCGGAAGCCTAGGAGTCCAGTGATTGGAGACCATTGTGCATTTACTGCGCTGCATTTTTTTTTGTTTGTATTTTTTGTTGTTGTTATTGTTTGTTTGTCTGTTTGCTGTTTTTGTTTTGTTTTGCTTTCTTGAGACAGAGTCTCATTTTGTAGCCGTGATTGGCCTGCAGCTCACTATTACAGTCAGGATTGGCTTGAGATTTCAACCCTCCTGCCTCAGCATCTTGGCTGGTGGGATTGCAGGCGTGAGCCCCCCTCCCACCCCCCGGCTGGCATTTCTTCTTTTTCTCTGTACTCTGTTGATGTTCCTGTGTAGGTAGTTTTCATGAGATCCCTCCCTTTCAACGTGGCAGGTGGGGTCGATGAGTTAGGTGTTAGGTGAAGACAAGGCAGATGTGTCTCCAACTCTGCATTTCTTTTCTTGCTCTAGTACCCTCACCCCTACGGCTTCTCCTAATTGAGGTTATTGAAGCACTGGCCCCTGACCATCCCTTAGGCGTTTCCCGAGTCCCTCATTTGTGGAGGCTTTCCTCTATTATGTACTGATACTGACTGGTATAACGGCCAGTGAGTATGGTAGGATTATTTGCACCGTGGGAATTGGCAACACCAGGAAGGGAGGTGGCATTCTCCACAAAGTCTGATGACTGATTGATTAGCTCACCGCTTTGCCTGTTGTTTGCATAGCTCCTTCTCTAGGGCTTCCGTGTGGGGCTGGCTGGTCTGATAGCCTAACAGTTTAGTTTGCTCTTGAGAACAGTCCAGTTTTAATCACAACATCCTGGAAATACTTGGATGCTGTGTTTAAGGAACTCCAACATCTGACTTGTGTTCTAACTGTGGCCCTTGTTGGCAGAGTGACCCCCAGATGGTCCTTGAAGGTGTCTGGTTCTCCCTTTGTGACACAATGACCATCAGTCAAAGTGGGAGCTACAGGCTGACTAAGATGTAAATTGAGGTGCTCATGATGAAAAGGCTGGAGACAAAAATGCCTCCCCTTGCCTTCCAAAGGCGAAAGGCCATCCCTGCAGGCTCCTACCCCCACCCATGTGTGAGAGGTCGTGTGGAGCTAGTGTGCCGTTTGTGAAGTGTGTTGGGAGAAGAATCAGAGTTCAGGAAGTTCAGGAACGAGGAAAGAGTGAATCAGTCTTGCCCTGCTTATTCTTGCTCACCCGCAGGCCAGCCTTTAGCCGGTCTCCTAGCCCTAACCGCCACTGCAGCAACCACCACAGCCGCAGCCACAGCCGCACCCAGAGCCGCAGCGGCAGCCACAGCCGGAGCCGCAGCCGTGGCCATAGCCGCGCCCACAGCCGCACCCACAGCCGCAGCCGCAGCCACAGCCACAGCAGGTCCAACAGCCCCTGCACCGACGTGGTCAAGGCCAGAAGCCCATCCCCAAACCGGGCCAAAACGTCCAGCTTGGCTCGCAAAGCTGCTCTCCTGTCCCGATTCAGCGATGCCTATTCCCAGGCCCGTCTGGACGCGCAGTGCTTGCTGAGGCGTTGCATCGACAGGGCTGAGACCGTCCAGAGGATCATTTACATCGCCACAGTGGTAAATGCGGTATCTGCAGCTGGACTTGAGACCCTTGGGACGGTGGGAAATCACCAAGTGAATTGTGCAGCCTTAAGAAGCTGGTGCATCCTCAAGTCAATGTGGAGGGGGATTTTAGTCTCCCGACCCGTTCCCCGTCTCCCCCATCTTCCCTCCCATGCTGTCATCATATGTATTTGGGAGCTCTTTGTTTTTCATGACCATAGACATATCACATATATTAACATTTATGTTGATCAGACATTTGCTGCGGTGCCTGTCATTCAACACACGACTATCTCAAATGTGTGCATGTTAAATGGACTGAAACCACGCCTTTTTCGGCATATGACCCCATGAGCACACACAGTAGGGTTATTGCTGTAAATGATTATTACTTGTTGCTGTTCTGCCAGTGTTAGAAAACTAGAGGACAGGTTAACTCTCTTCTGCTTAAGTTATTTATGAGTTACTGAAGCGACCAATGTGTCAGCTATTTGAGTACTGTAAAAGATATGTAAATATAATCCTTGTCCTATGGCTGAATGCCACCTTGAGATCCCATTATAAGAGTAAGCACGAAGAAACACGTTCACGTGAGAGAAAAATGTTAATTCTAGAAATCCCGCATCTGTTCATGCCAACAGTCAACAAATGTGTATGGGTCACATCTGCCTTGTTCCTAAAACACTGCATAAGAACTGAGAATGAAGGATGCTTTTATGTTTTCAAAGGGGCACGATAAAAAAAAAAAATCAGTGACAGAGATGGCAGCCAGTGAAGTCTAAAGCATTTACCGTTTGGCTCTTTCTAAGAAGGTTAACGGGCCCTGGTTTATGTAACTAAGTCACTTCCTGGTTTAGTCAAAGCTGTATAAGCTTCGAGAACACGCCTTTCTTGGAAAACCAGGTCCTGCCAGTAAATGCTGTGTAAGACAAAGGCTTACCGAGTTTGTAAAAGAAATCTGGGACCAACTGTTTTCTCTTAACCTTGGCCGGTACCACGGCGTTGCTGTGGACCCACAGCACAGGACTTCCATCCTTGGGTCTGCACTGTACATTTTGACACTCAGAGTTGCCAACACAACGCCCACTTGTCTTAAAATCAGTGGGTTATCATGTATATTTCTACATACTTTTTAAAATCGAGAGTCATATTATCTCACAGGTCAAAACTATGTTTAGCCAACCATGTTTAGTTATCTGAACACTGGTATCACGGTGCAATTTGAATTCTTCTCGATTCCTTTCTTTGGATTTTTTTTTTTAAATCTCCTCTCATCAGATAAACTTGTTGTGTTTTTATGTGCAGGAGGCATTTCATGTAGCTAAAATGGCATTCAGGCATTTCAAGATCCGAGTCAGGAAGATGCTAACACCATCGCATGTGGGCCCGAATGACTTTGAGAACTCAGTCTCTGACTATATCGTTTGTCATCTTGATCTATATGACTCTCAGAGCAGTGTTAATGTAAGTTTGGGGTCTCCTGTGAGGAGTAGCATGTGGCCGGTGACATACCGAATGTAACGTACCGAACACTGAGAACTCGAGAATCCATCTGTGTATTTGTTGTCACGTGAATGTGATGGAGGAGAGAAACATTCAATTTATCCTGAAACACTGGTCTCTATTGGCTGCGTTTCTCTTTTGCATGTGTATGCAAGTGTGGTATGTGTCATGTGTGTTACATGTGTCTGTGAGGGTGGGCACACATCTGTGAAGGCCAGAGGTTGACACCGGGCATGTTCTTTGATCACCTTCCATTTTAACTACTAAGGCAAGGTCTCTTGTTGAATTTGAGCTTCCTGGTTGGGGTACTTTAGCTACCCAGGTTGCCCAGGGAATCTCCAGTTTCTGCCTCTTTAGTGCCGAGGCAGTTGGACTGCCATGCCCACCCTGAATTTATGTGGGTGCTGGAAATTGAACCCAGGCCCTCTGGAAGAGCACCCAGCGCTGAACAATCTCTCCATCTCTCTGAACTACCTTATTAAGAGCAAGGGCGGCTCATGTTTGACCTCGACTTTGCCAAATGGCTGCCTTCCACATTAATTTAAACTTCCAGGGCTCTGGTTTTCTAATCTCTAAAAGGGAACATCAGAGATGATTGTTGTACAGAGTGGCTGGGAGAGGTTCTCTGAAAGGAGGCAAGCCATTTGTCTTGAACAAGACTTGGTGCATAGTTAACACTTAATAAGTGTCTAGTAAGTGGCAGGTGTCTCATACATGTACTCACAAAAGGAAAGTGAGGAGAGGAAGATAACTCAATTGTAGAATGCCTTCTATAAAAAAAAAAAAAAGCACAAATATCCCAGGCACAGACAGAAAACGTGGGTGAGGTGGTATACATCACAGCACGAGGAATGAGGGACAGGCAGATCTTTGGGACTCTTTGGTTGGCCTGCTAGCCTCCCTAAATCAGTGTGCTCCAAGTTCAGGGGGAGACCCTGTCTTAAAAAAACCAAGATTGAACGATACAGGGAGACATCCTTCGTTAATCTCTGGGCTCCACACATACCTGCACGTGTATATGAACACCCCCATGAACTAATAAATACACACTTTGAGCCTCTTCCTTTAGTTTTTTTAGGAGAGGGTTTTCTTGCTGTTTGTTTGTCATTTCTGCTGTCTTCTCTCATCTTTCTCTCCTAGTGAGCTCAACACCCTCCTCCTGCAGCACATCTGCCCCTTTCTGGATTGATGTATCTTCCTTCACTCACATCTTCTTTCCCACCTCCCTTCAGTCACAGATGATGTTGGGATCTTGTGGAAGCTGGAGCTTCTTGTCACATTTTGGCAGCCAACTGATGCCGCCTTTTGTTTTCCAGGATGTGATCCGTGCCATGAACGTCAACCCTAAGATCTCATTCCCCCCTGAAGTTGACTTCTGCCTCCTCACTGACTTCATCCAGGAGATCTGCTGCATAGCCTTTGCGATGCAGTCCTTGGAACCACCCCTCGACATTGCATTTGGGGCAGATGGAGAAGTCTTTAATGATTGCAAGTAAGAGGCACAGGAGCAGTTGGTCACCCATTTTGGTTCGTGTAGTCTGCATGTTTTGTGGACCACTGTTGGGCATTTCCATCACATGCCTTTAACCAGAGGAAACTTACTGGTTTGTGTGCCCAGTGGTTGGGTAGTTGAAGCTAGAATTCCTAACTACGACTGACTTTGATCCTATTGTTGTCCTTCTGTGTCTAGAAGTCCTCTTGGTATACTGTTCTTATGGAATGTATACAATTTACCCTTGTTCATTCAATTGCTGATTTCTCTACTCCACTATCTGGTTTCAATCCAGACATTGCATTGTGATGCTTATTCTAAGCATCACCTGTCTCAAGTTTGTGTAAACAGGCCACCATTTGTTCTCTGTAATTGTCAATTAAACAACCAGCCACAGTGCTGTATAATGGAGACAATAGGGTGGTTCGGAGGGGAGAAAGGAAGTGAGTGGGAGTAGGAGAGAGAGATTGGCAGGACAGGACTTCAAACCATGAGGAGAGATGAACCAGACCTAAGATATGACTAAAAGCAAATATAATGGGTGGAATCTGAATGGTAGGAAACTATGCAGGCTTGGAGGTTTAGGATGGGATGGAATAACTATTGCCCAGCATTGTGCTCTAGGCTAATTAAATAAATTCTAGTCTCTGTGTGGTGATTTGGGTATACAGCTGCTTTAGGAATAACTGCTGCCTAACTAAAAGATAAATCAGTTATAAATATTAATAACCCACAACAGGGTCCCTATCTGTTGAGTCAACAATTCAGGAGTTGAAAATATTAGGGAAAAATTTGAACATGTATAAACCATTTTTCTTGTCATTCCTTACATAATACAGAATAGTAATTGTCATATTCTATTTACATTGCATCAGGTATTGTAAGTAATCTAAATGTGACTTAAAGTATGCAGGAGGAGGCCCCTAGGTTATATAAAAATGTAACAACATTACATATCTATGTATGTATATATGTTATATTTATTTATAGACAATCTTACTGTGTAACTCAAACCAGCTTGGAGCTCATTACTTAGGTCACACGGACTTTAAACTCAACCCTTCTGCCTCAGCCTCTCTTGTGTTAGAATTACATATATTCACCACACAACCCAGACTATGAGACCATTTTATATGTTATGTGGACATCTGCCAGTCATGGTGTGTGCTGGGTCCTGAAGAGATCCCCTGTGGTTTAGGGTACTGTGCTTTAGGGAGTCACAGAACGCACCAAAGCCTTTAGTACTTGGCTCCCTTTCCCAGGAAGCCATCACTGAGACCCTTTCCTTGGCCTCATGCGTCATGGTTTTTCCTGTGAAGTGGGCTGGAGACTCCTTCACAAATTGCTCTGCTCCTTGGCCTGGCACCACACTCAGCTGAGGTTTCCTTTTATCGGAAGAGTCAAAGAATTGGGTGTAGGTACCTGGGCTAAAGTGGGCAGCAGAGAGGGACCAGCACCTCTTCATCCTGAGTTGTCCCTATCTATGATATTAACTAAGTTATAGAAGGTTTTTTTTTTTTTTTTTTTTTTTTTTTTTTTTTTTTTTTTTTTTTTTTAATTAGCCTTAGGACACCATTAGCTAATTTCAGGTAAAACTAAGCTTGCTATTATTTTTTGCTGTTTGTGCGTTGACTAGATCATATATTTCCTCTGTTTTTATGCTTAACATACTTTCCACACTCCACATTCCCTGTGGACACAAGGGGACAGTCATGAATACAGAGGTCCTCATGGAGATTCACACTGCATATTTTCTTCTAGATTATTGCTCCAGCCTACTGAGCTATCTTAATGGTTACTGTCATCTGGTGGTTTTTTTTTTTCTTTTCTGCTTGCCTTTGAGTAATTTTTCTATATTTTAACCAAGTCACTGACAAATATGTTGACTTGTTGCCATATTGACAGAGAGGGCTGAAGAGATGACTCAGTGGTTAATAGTACTAGCTGGTCTTCCGAAGGACCCAGGTTCAATTCCCGTCACCTCAAAACTCTCTGTAACTCTAGCTTCATGTGATCTGACATCCCCAGGCACTGAATGGACATAGAGCCCAGGCATGCATGCAACAAAAATATCCATATACATAAAAAAATCGAGAGAGAAAGAGAGTTCCCCACATGTTCATTTAGATACGCATTGTTCTGTTAATTAGTACTCTTTGGATATGACCACTGAGTCACATTTCAACCTGTGTAAACCTTCTCCTGGTTTTCTTTTGTTTTGTCCACAGACACAGCATGAGAAATATTGCCCAGCATGAGAAATAGGACAGCAGGAGAGCACATGCCCATCTCTTTAAGCACAGACTGAGAATCACAATCACTGTTTAGTTCTAAGCCTAGTCAAAATGAATGTTTCAATGGGTTTCCCCTACTTAGGCTACAAAGCACTAACTTCCTGCTAGTGGCCAGAGCACAGTGGTAGAGTGTGTTTACAAGATGCACAGCTCTGGGTTTGATCCAGAGTATGGAAGAACAGTTCTTACGATCTTCGTTCTCTTGTGTATTCCCACAGGTACCGCCGCAGCTACGATTCGGATTTCACGGCTCCCTTGGTCTTTTATCACGTGTGGCCTGCTCTCATGGAGAATGACTGTGTCGTTATGAAGGGAGAAGCTGTCACCAAGAGAGGGGCTTTTGTACGGTGGCCTTGCATAGTGACAATTCATCCCCCATGTTTGATTTACAAGTTCGAGAACATTTATAAACCCAAAGATTCTATAAAAGAAGTTGATAGACTTATTTCATAAGATTTCATACAAAGGAGAAGGGGGAATAGCTGCCTGTTTCTGTACTCTCCCACAATTCTTTGTAATTCCCTTGCAGTGATTTCATTGCTGCTGTTCTGTCTGAGGATGGTGCTAGCCATGACTCATTTATCTCCTCTATCTTGGAGATAGTTTGAAATTCCTAATTCTCCACTTGAGGGAAATTATGCATGTATCCTGTTTTTTTCTCCTTGGTATGATATGTAGGGAAGGGGAGGATGGGAGAAAATGGGACAGAGAAAATGGAGAGAAAGGAGCTATTTGGCTTTGGAAGGGTGCTTCTTACAGCTCTTGGTTATAGATGTTTGAACATCTTGAAAAACTGAACAGCCTTCCAGATTGGAGTCTTTGGAGTGTGTGTGTTCATGTGTGTGTATGTGCATGCAAGCATGTGTGAGAATGGGGGGAGGGATTTGTATGCTGGGATTTTTGGCCACAAGGACCTTGGATCCTCATATTCCGTGATGTAGGATTTACTTGAGCCTTTCCTAGAGAGAATTAGTTGTATTCTGAAAGGATCCTCTTGGTCTAGAGCATACTGGGTAGCAGAGAGGTACTTTGAGGCTCCACATAGTATGGGAATAGAGCAGTAATTTTTTTTTTTTAATTTTAGGATTTTTTTTTTTGTTTTACAAGCAAAATCCCATTGTAGTGAAAACTATCTTCATAAAAAGCTTTATGCTTCAAAAGCTCGAGCCTATCACAATTGGATTTTTTTTCTATCTGACAATACACATGCTCTATTGTGCATTTTTTTCATAAGACGGGATTCTTGTCCTTATAGTCCTCTGTTTGGAAATTTTTACAAATGGAGTGCAGTTTGGAAGGGAGGGAGGGAACTTGGCCACAATTTTTATGCTCAAGCCAGATAGTTACTGCCTATTTATTTCTTGTTTCATCGAGTACCTCACCCACATTTGCCCATTTTTATTGGCACGCAATTAATTATTAACTATTTAATGAATTATTGACACACTTCTACTATTAACTGGGTGTAGAATTCTCTTCATATTGCCTCTGTAACTAGCCAGCAGAGGCCTTTTATTGTGTTTAATGAGAAACCCTTCCCTGAGCACCGGAATGCGAATTCACTCAAGTTCATTATAATGGGATTTTACTGTCAAATACTGGGTGCTGCAGGAAACAGTAGAAGGGTCGCTCACACAGGCGACAAGGGAAAAGTGATGCCTTGTCAGTAAAGCTGTGGCAAGCCGCATCTGCTTTCACGAGCTCATGAGTCTCTCTCCATCTTTTTTTTTCTTTTCACAGTGGAGCTCTGTGCGACCTGTAACTCGGTGCCGTAGCAGGAGTTTAAGTCCCATCTGTCCTCGTACCCGCATTGGACTAAACACGGTACATGTTTATCTGACCATTCTAGCAGAAAACCTCCTACAATGATACTTTCCCATGAAAGGGATAATTAAAAATATATAGGTAGAAAAAGAAATTGTTGCCTTGACATAAACCCCTAGTGATTTTTTTTTTCAACACCATTATGGCTAAGAAATTTAGCATTCTAGAAAGAAATGAAGTGTTTGTTTTTTTTTTTCAATTTTTTATAGTTATTTCAAGGAATAACAGGCTTTTCTAATTTACTAGTTTTATTCTTTTTATCCTCAACAGGTGTTAGACAGTTGGACATGTAGACATGGGACATTCAAGTCACAGATCTGAACACAGGTCCCTGGGTTTTTTTTTTTAGAAATTAGTACATGGATTTGGAGGAATCACAGAATGATCCCAGATTGAAATGCTTCCTAAAGGGCAGTTAAAACATTAATTTGTCCCCAAATTCAAAGTAGGAAAGACAATATTTGTTTCTTTGCATATTAGTCCTTCAAACTTCTATTTGAATTAGAAAAAAAAAAAACATAAAAATCTTTCTGAAGACTTAGTATTTGCAGCCGTAAAACACCACATGATTGAACCCTGTTCATTACTTACCAAATAACATTTAGTCAACATCTGTTGAATGTAGGGGCTGGACCAAGACTCATATCTACTAGTCCTTCAAACGGAGGTTCTTTTATGTGTGCATTTGGCCTTGTTCTCAAAGAGAACTACAGGCGGCAACCCCCACATCTCACCACTGTCCCTGGCAATTCAGAGCTTCCTCTGCAAAACCAAGGAGAACATCCCTGTTAGTTACTCAGACCGACCATCTTCACTGACTTTAGCAAGCATCCGCCAGTCTTCCAATGGGCTCCTCCTCAAACACAGCTCAAAAGCCAGATGTGGGAGGGACGCAAAATGACCGACGGCGGTGTTCTCCCTGAGTGAGTCACCATGTAGGAAGATTAATGGAATTTGAACGACTTAGGTGGCTGATGACGGCGCAGATCAAGTTGAGAGATCCATGGGTTGACTTGATGTGATATGGTCTACAATGTGTGGGAATGGAAGTTGGTATTTGATTTGGCTTTTTAGAATGGACAAATGTCACACAGGAAGAAAATCACATAAGAATATAAGAAATGCTAGGGAAGTGGGAAAAAAAACCCACAAAATGGGCACAGTCCTTTTGATCTTGGGGATTTTGCAAAACTTAATCACCTCTATTCAGGAATAAGAAAGTACAGTAGGTTAAAAAAAAGAGGTCATGCATTTAGTGACCTGATGACTAAAAAGAACCTGGGGAGCATCATGATGGATGTCTCCCTATCCCAAGAGGAAACCATGAATCAGAGGACAGAGCAGTTTTCAGAATAGTATTAGGAGATGGTTCTCTAGGCCCTGGAGGCTTGAACTCTCTACTCTCAGTGGAAGTTTTATTCAAGGGGAGTGTCCCCCGCACTGAGTCCTCAGACATGTCTGAGCCCACCTCTCTTATCAGAGAACAACGTAGCTTCAAGTGTAGGTGAGGACATCAACTATGTTCTCAAAGATGAAACTGAGCCAGCTTCCCTTCTCTGCTCATCTGTCTCCTCCTTCAACAAAGCTAGGAGCCTACAAGATGAAATGTAAATACTTCAGTTGGTCTTTTTTTTTTGGGTTTAACTAAGGCCTTGATTTCCACAGAACAGACTCCACCCTGGACAGTGTCCTTTGAACATGTTTGAGCGTTCAGGATAGGAAAGAGGCTTGTAGCTCGTGTCAGACTTGAACTGCCAGTGTGCTAGTTTCTGCTTAGTGCAGGTGAGATTTGGACATTCTTCCTTTGTTGATGTTCAGGGCTCTTCCTGTAGAGGGCAGAAATTGGACACATGAAAACATTTATACAGTCTTTGAGCTTATGTCATCACTTTAGCTCTGATTAGTTAACTGTGTTAAAACTTTCTTTCCTCTTAAGCCATTGAACCCAACTTCCAGTCAACAACATAATTTAAACCAAATTATAGATGTGCATTTACTTAAGAAGCTTAGGAAGACTCATGCTGGTCAGTGCCCCAGAGCAGCTACCTGGCTGGTTTTAAGATTAACCATGTCCAAGCAAGCCATCTTCTGAACTCTGTATACTGTATAATTCGCGTTGTTCTTTTATATTTTCAGATATCTCGAAGTCGGAGTCCGTCTCCAATAAGATGTACAGTGTCAAGTAAGTGGGATAGTTAAGATGGAGAGAGTTTTCTGTTTTTTAAAATATCTTCTGGAGCATGCCACATGTTTAGTCTTGGGGACTATCTTTCCTCCCCAATTCACACTATTCATTTCATTTCTGGGCCCTCTCCTTGATGGTGCCTGGGCTGGTCTCATAGGTTACAGAAAGAGCAACCTCCATGGAGAGATTTAACTGCTTTGACCCAAGATTGGCCATCCCTTTTCACTTAGGTACTTCTGAATAATGTGCAAAAATAGTGATCATGGCAATGATCTGTTTGTTTCTCTCCCTAGGGTATTAAGATCACCAGCCACGTTTGTTCGCCATGGTCCATTGGAACAGCCAACTTCCTCAGGGCTTCCACCCACCTGCCCTGTCTGCCTCCGACCTCTTAACATGAAATGAAATGGCAATTTTGTGTCTCACTCTGCACAGAGTTAAATGCTTTGGTTCAGTGCCTTTGTAACTCTAGGTACATAGCAGTTCCATTCCATTTTATAGGAGCAAATCCCATTAATTTCATAAAAAGATTATATAGGCAGATAGGATCATATTCATTTGAACATAGTCCATTACAAAGATACAGACTTCCCTCCCAAACTACTAGACTCTTTCACAGAAACTCTACGAGTGAAAACAGAAGTCATTACCCAGCTGAGTCCCAAAGAAAGGACAAGTGATCTTAGTTTATAGATCAGTCATAAATGCTGCTATTGTCAGCTTTTAGCTTCCAGAGACCATAGTTGGGTGTTCTAATCCCCTTATAAAGTTTCAAAGGCAGCCTTAGTTTCAGGCTGGGAAACTCACCCCAGTGCCACTTACTTCAGGGTAAATGGAGACTGTGGTAAGACATTAATTTAAAAGGGCAGAATTAGTTAGCTTGCTTCTCTTTTTGTCAAAGCTTCTGCATTTTCTGTTTTCTATTTTCTCTTCCTTGCTTCCTTCCTTCCTTCGTTCCTTCCTTCTTCCTTCCTTTCATTCTTTCTTTCTCTCTTTTTTTGTGTACAGGTGCCACTTAATCAGTTCATATTTGGAAGCTGTAGCTTCCAGCATCTGAGATCTAAATCCCTCATATTTTTTCCCCTTTACACCTTTTCTTATAAGATACACGATCAATTAGTGAACTCAGTCAATATTAATTAACAGTCAAGCTTAATCAATTAACAAACTAAACAACTTGTATACTGGCAACATACTACAGATAGACTAATGTTGAGTAATAAAAGATGAACCAGAATCGAGGCATGTGGGAGTGTTTTCTTCAGAGCAGTTGTCTCATAACCAGGAATGTTTCAAATTTTAATGCCTGTGTTAAATACAAAACCTACCTGGGAACCACCCTTCCACCCCCTCCTCCTGTTGTAAATGAAGGCCTCATGAAAGCCCTCTGACTAGAGTACGTGCACTCAAGACCCTTATGAGGGGGCTTGGTTTACTGATTTTAAATGTTTATGTCTCTTGACTGCTTCACTGTGACACCCACGAGAGCGCATAGCCAAGGTAGGAATGAACTGTTACTTTCTCTAGGTAACTAGAGCTTCCGTCTTTTTCTTCTAACCCTTTCAGGCCAGCCTTACATATATAAACCCCAGGCGTGTTAGTCTGAGGGCAGAGTGCAAATCAGCTCCTGATGCTTTTTGGGTGGGTATAAATGAAGGCAAGAGCCCGATGTCTCTAAGCATTTTGCGCCTGTGCTGGGGGTGGGGTGGGAGTAAAGGGGCCCCTTGGTCTCTGCTTCTCAAATCCTGTGATCAGCAGCTCGTTCTGAGGTATGAGTTTCTTCTTCCTCTTAGCATTGTTTGTTTGTTTGTTTGTCTTGTTTTTTCTTCTTTTTGTTTGTTTGGGTTTTGGTCATGATCTTTTTGAGGCCAGGCCATGTGCTTGAAAGGAACACTATGTTCCCTGGTAGCTTTTGGTTGCCTCTTGGCCATTAGCTTGCTGTGTAGCCTTGAGCAGGTTATTTGACCTCTCTGGGCTTCAGTTTCACTGTAGAATGAGCAGATTCGATGAAAATGAGTGGATTTCTAAATCTTAACAGACTCCTCACTGCTTCTTATAGCAAAGAGTTTACTCTGGCAATCCTGAAACTATGGCTAAAGTTAGTGTTAACCTATATATGACCATATGGATTTTAAAATGGACATAATAGAACGCAAGCAATTTCTAATAAAAGTTTTCAGTAAAGAATGCTCAAGGACCATCCGTGAAGATGAAATTAGAGCGTTAAGCGCTGAAGTGTACCCAGCACTGGCATGTGAAGTCACCAGCTATGATTTACACATCAGCAACGGGGGGCACCGCGTCAGCCTTGGAGATGGACCATTCTTGATAACGTTTCAAGCAAAAACCAGTCTTACCCCACTTAGCTACACCATTCCTAAAAATCGAGTGTATGCTAACACTGCAGTAGTGCCTTGTGCTGTAGAACAAAAGGTCTTTCTTAAAATCTCACCAAGTAAGCCAGGCGTGGTGGGACATGCCTGTAATCCCAGCACTCGGGTAGGCAGAGGCAGGCAAGATCTCTGTGAGTTTGAGGCCAGCTTGGTCTACACAGAGAAACCCTGTCTTGAAAATATAAACAAACAAAAAAGGTCTCATTAAGTATTAAGGTTGATTCTGTATCAGAAGGTTTTTTTTTTTCCCCCTTAAAGCCACGTATGTCATTTAATATGGATAAATAGTCCAGGTATTTGTTCTCAATGGTATGGGGACACTTGCCAATTCTCAAGTTTCTAATTTGAACTATAGCCACACAGGAAAGCCAAATAGTCCAAAACAGTTTTTGGAAAGCATCCGTGAACCCAGAGAAGGCTGGCCTGTCCTCATGGCATGTGGGTGTCGACATCTGGAAAGCTCTTGTTCTGTATGCACTCTGGGTCAGACTGAGTTTCTATGTTATTGCTCAGCATCTCATAATAAAATCACAGTAGCGTGCTTTACTCTGACGTGTCTTCCTTCTGGAGGCTTGGGTTCAGCAGCGCACTTTCCCTTCACTAACCCACCAAAGAGAGCCCCAATCACACATGCCTCAAGGAAGCACTGACTGTGCCCTGCCCCAGGTTGACCTGGGATAGCTGGGTCACTACTGGCTGTGTTTTCTCATTCGCCGCTCCTCTCACCTGTTAAGGGTACCTTCTGTGAGCCCTGCTTAGCTGTTTCCCTGGACTCTTCACTTAGGTTACTTCACTGGCTCCCACAGTAGCCAGGCGTGTTTGCACCTTTGTATGTAAGGGGCTTTTTTGTTCAGCGTGCTCTACAATCTGGTCTCGATGTCTTTCCCTTTAGAATAAGACCCAGTCTCATCTTCTGTTTCTCTTGGCACACAGCACTGTGTCTTTGCTTGCTTGCTTGTTTTCAGGGAATATGTGTATTTCCTGAGTGTGTCCTATAGTACTGAGGATAGTTATGTATAGAAAGAGCTGGATTTTATGGAGTTTAATTTCCTGTCTAGCTGTATGCCCCAGCGATTTTCCTGTCATGAAGAACAGATATGAATACATAAGAAAATGGAGCTGACGAAAGCTAGGCTTGTGGCAGGAAGATTGCCAAAAGTTTAACGTCAGTTTGGGCTATTTGGTGAGTTCTAGGCCAGCCTGAGCCACATAGGGGTGGCCTTGTCTCAACAAACCAAAAGAGTCTCAGTAAAAATAGCAAGTCAAAGGCTATGTTTCAATGGAGGGATTATAAACTATTATCAGGAAAATATCTCTAGATAAAACAAAGCTACGGGGAGGCTGAGGGAGACAGCGTGTTCAAGAAAATGCTTGCTGTGCAAATGCAAAGATACAAGTTTGGATCCCAGCACCCATAAGGCTGAGCTTGACAGCATGTTTCTCACAGCAAAGCTGGGAAGGGAGAGACAGGAGCGCCTGGTCAAGCCGATCTAGATAAACAGACAAGCCCAGTTAGGGAAGGGGAGGTTTTCTCAAAAACAAAGGTGGAGGAGAATTGAGGAAGATATCTAGCCTCCTCACTCAACTCATAAATACGTGCACCCATCTCCGTATGCACATATAGATGAACGCGCGTGCGCGCACACACACATACACACACAGGGGCAGTGGGAGAGGAGGATGAATGCTATAGGAGGGAAGGATAGACTAGTGTGGTAAAGTATGCCAGAGGATAGAACTCGATGTTAGAATCTATAACTCTGGCATTGTTAATGAAGCTAGTATGAGAAGGAAGAGGCGGTCCACAGGGCATCTCTATGAACCTGCCCCATTAGTGCATCTGTTTGCTCCACCCATGCTTAAGTTACAGGGCATCTGCTGACCATTCCAATTTGCTTTTAAGCATGCCATACATCCTGTAGTAGGCAGAGCGCCATCAGCATCCTTCTGGGAAAATAGTCAGTGGAAGATTTCTTAGTGGTGGTGCTTTGAATAATCTCATACCTATAATTAAGGGTAAGATGTTATGGAAACTTAAAGAAGCTAGCATTTACAAACTGCCTTAGGTCATGGAACAAGGAGCTCTCAGGAGCCATATGAATAAGTGAGATTTAGAATGGCATGTGTGCCTTAATAAACAGAATAAACAGGGGCCGTGAGAAGATAGGAACTAGATTTCTTGTCTCAAATGAAATGTAACTGGACAGTTTCACACTTGAAGAGGCTCCCAGCAGAGGTCAGCATGAACACACTTTCCATAGCATCATCAACAATTATCTATCAAAACTGGGCATTTATTTGTCCTTCTACTGGGTAAGAGTGACAGAGGAGAGTGGCAAGTGTGTGTGTGTACTGCAGACTTAATTACAAATTGGGTTACAGTGCTTTTAAATTTCAGTAAAGTGATGTATTAGAATATGTTGTAAAATGTGCTAGAACGGCTACTTAGTCACTGGGCAATTGTCAGAAGAGCTCAGGTGTCACACTAAGTATGAGTCAGGTCTGTTGGCAACTCGTTTCTTATTTTGGGACACTGGAGCCAGGCGTGTGACCCAGACTATCCCTGGGAAATGTATGAAAGGAGCCACTAGATGGCAATGTTGCTTAGGAAGTGAGAGCCACGCGCTTGCTGTAGAAAAATGGTTTTGGATCGAAAGCCCTGAGAATGTATCTACAACTTCATTACCGGCGCAACTGCTCACTATCAACTTAAACAATATCTTATATTGATAGCGAATGGTCAGTATGAAAATATAGAGTGTCAGAAAATTGGCTGAAAAACTATGCCATAACTAACCTGATAAAAGATGTATGAATTTGATTGTCTTAAGGCGTAAGAAACAATTTCTTAAACAATAGGGGTGAGGGTGTTTGTCTGTCTGTCTGTCTGTCTTGGTATTTTAAGAATTTACTCTAACATCATCATTGTGTCAACCTAGAGTTCTTACTGAGGTGGACTGCAATGAAATGTTCGGGTTATCAGTTTTTGCTCTTGCTGTTCTGGTGGAAGACCGGGGCTGCATTCCCTGGCACTCAATTCATGATGAACAACTGCCTTGACCCCAGTTCCAGAGGATCTGACGCCCTTTTCCGTCCTCCAAAGACATCTGCATGTATGTGGTGCTTCTGAGAGCAGGAAGGCACATACACACACAAACAGAAAAGCACACACACACAGTCACTTGGTGTTAGTGTTATTTTTCTTGCCTTCCTGTATATGGGTGAGAGTATGTGACATTTGTCTATCCGGGGCTAGGTTACCCGCTCAGTTTCCTGGTTCCACTCATTTACGCACAAATTTCATTTTTCTTTACAGCTGAGTAAAGTCACGCTGTGTATAGGTAGAGTTTCGTTATCCACTCACCAGTTGCTGGATGCTGTTTCCAAGTCATGTCCACTGAAATGAAGGTGGATGAGCATGTCTCTGTAGTAGGATGGGGAGTCCT